TTCAATGTGTCTGCATCACTAATTCCGGGTGAATTTGTCCGTGAAATAGGACTATCTGATTTCCATCTCATTCGGGCTGCAAATCCTTCTGTCTCATCACTATTATTATTATTATTTAATTCTTCATCTTCTTTATTAAATAGTCCAGCCCAATATTTGACATTCTTTTCATCAGGAAGTAAAACACCATTATTACCCATATCTTCCTTATCTTCAGCTCCACCATCATATAAAGGGTTAAGAAACTCGTTTTTATTGGAATTGAAATAATCCCAAACAGAATATGTTAGAGTAGTGACTTTATAATCCATTCTTTCTTTTTCCGAATTGCATAAAAATGTTCCGAATTGACATGAATAACAATGATAATGCAATTCGATCAAAAATTTTTCATTAAATTCAAATCTTGTAGGAAATTGCGTTAAGAGTTGAAATACACAGTCCAAAAATTGTTGAAAAATTGGTGAAATTTCTCGAATATATGATTGGTTATAAAACTTGCTTTGTACTGTATTGAAAGCTGTGTTTGCTGCATTTGTATTAACACTATTAATGAAATATTTTTCATCAGAAAGGTGACCAGAACGATCAGTGAATTTATGACCAAAAGATATCCATTCTTTTTCTACCAATACTTGAAATCCTCTGAAAGTACGATAATATGGATCCAAGCAAAGTATAGAAATTGATGTCAATTGTGCGGTACGATCCCAACCGTCAGAACAATGAATAAGTACATGGGAACTAGCGATATGTACATTTTTGATGATAACGAGAGAAGATTCTAATATAGTAGATATGTACTTAAGCCAATTGGATTTATCCAAGTTTTGCTTTTTAATGAGTAAACCTTGAACGTCTGCAGTTTGTATTACTATAAAAATTTCAGTGTATTCGAAAAAAATTTTATTATAAACAAATATATAAATATGTCCATATATACGTTTAAGAATATATATATATGTATATAGACATACCTTCTACTAATTTTGCTAAACTTTCTCTCATTACATGAATATTATCAATGCCCATAAATTTTCTTTCACAATTTTTATAGTTTTCCATATTTTCTGATCCTGCACCTACTGCAGCGTTGGCTATAGCGTTAGCCGTAGGTCGAGCATCAACGATTAGATTTGTCTGTGTTGAACCAAACACTGATGGTAAATTAGGAGCATTAGACCGAAAAATAGCCTCGATAAGTTTTTCATCTTGTATTGAACGATTTTTTTTGAGCCCAACCATTGGTTGGCTAGAGCGAGTTATGGATGCCTAATGAGATGAAAAATTCGTTGAAAATTTATTATCATTATAAAAAATTAATTAAAAATATTTCTAAAGAATAACCTTATTTTGCCAATGCAAATAACTTAAAACTGGTATACGATTTTTACTTCTAAATTTTGAAGCATGATTCAAAACATTATCGCTAATTTTTGTTGGTACAACTAAAGTATGTGGATATGTTTCGCAAAACTAAGATTATGAAATGAACCGATATCAGACAAATTACAATTTTATAATTAATAAATTAAATTAAATTCATCGTACAGTATAATCTCGATTTACGCTTGAAAACCTCCATGATGAATTCGGTATACCAACACCCATTCTACCATATTCTTGATATACATCATAGAT